AAATAGTTTAGCAATAGTTGTCAACTTCGTTATTGGTCTATGATTTGAAACATCGTTCTTAATTCCACTTTTGATGACTGGTGTAATATGTGTTTTTTTTCGAATCTTGAAGATATGCCCCGGTTGAAAGCGATTTATTAAAAATAAGCGTCAGCGGTTTTATAAGAGCACAGCAGTTTTTTAAAAGAGAAGGTGATATGCCATCAACATCGGTTTGTGTGGAGGCCTTAGGCACTGCGACTGCCTGTTCAACATCACTCTCAGAGACACACAAACTACTTAAACACAATGGAGAGTCCAAAAAATAAGCACTATCTAGGCCATCGTGAAGTTGAGTCACAAAGTTGGCACTGAAAAATTCAGCGAAAAGTTTGACTAATTCATCGGCAGATGAGGCATGCTTTTCCTTCAGAAACATTGAGGACGTTATATTTGATTTCGAGTTTATTCAATTGCAACATAACACATTTTCATGAATTTGTACTTTGTGTTCGAGATTTTTACGCCACGAAATTTATTACAAGCATTCCTAGGCAGGGAAACATGATGAAAATACAACTGTTGAAGCACATTGCAGTGAATAAATATCATCGGGAACGAGCGAAATTGCAAAGCTTACCTTTGAAGTGTTCCACTTCCCTTTCATCTTGCAGAATTTCTTTACTTTTACAATATTCTCAAGGTAGCCTTCTAATTAGCAGTTTCTCATGTTGAAAATACAATCCTTCATACGATTAGCAATATTTTTTTTGCGTAATTTAGCCTAATGAATATATTTTCTCTTCACAAACCGGCACACTGAACAGGTAGTATCAGTAGAGCAGTTGATTTGATTTTTTTTTAATTATTTGGTCTCTAAAATATCAAACATTTCTAATTTCGTCTCACAAAAATTGTAAATTGTTAAAATCTGTAGCACTTTACTTAAATTTTGTTGTTGTTTTTTCGAGCATATTTACAAATGTAGCTATTAGTGCCTGGTTTTTTTCTTGAATATTTTCTTCGGCCCTGGTTATAACATAAAGATGCACACCACTAATCTATCTCTTCTATCTCTTTAGCAGAAAATGGCAATTTCCATAAAATCCGTTCCCTGGCTATGAGCATACACATTCTGTGTTGAGAACGAATTCTTTATAGCGTCTTAAGAAATCGATTGTTTTTTATTGCGAATATGTATTAGCAATAAAATCCGCAACTTATACATACATATGAATTTCTTAAAGAATGGAAAAAATATTTTCTGTTGTAACAGGCTGAAACAACTACATCTATAAGTAATCAACTGCCAATAAGAATTGTTTGTTAAAGTGTAAATATTAGAAAGTAGTAAATATTATTAAATTGATATTTCTAACACTCTTATCAATAATACCATTAATAATAACCATATTTTTCCTCTTGCAAAAAACTTTTTCTAATTGTAAAAGTTGACCGGAGCAGAGCTCGTACCCAGGTCCTGCGGAATGGTAGTACGCACTTCTAACCGCTCAGCGGCCTTATGAATTGATGAAACCAAGTTTTTCTGAAGGTCTGGATTGTATATAGAAAAGTAATTTCCCAGTTTTCATAGGTTGGCGATTTTAAGCTTTTTTTTCAAATTAAAGTTTGTGGTCGTAGAGCAGCATATAAAACAATTAAAAGTGATTGATTTGCAAATATTTATACCATCAAGAGATCTTTCTTGGAGTTGCCGGCTGCTGGGTACACTTGTTGAGAAACATTGCTTGCACATTGTTTCCTTCAAGTTCCTTCCATGTTTTTTTACATTTAAGCCTTAATTAGGCGCATGGGGTCAAGGCCATTTCAAGTTGAAAAAAAAATGTCTTGGAGTGTTTGGAGTGTGCTCGCCCTCTTTCTAGCTTCCTAACTCCCCGCGGGGTACGTAAACTAGTCACGGCCAGAACATCGGCGTGTACATAGGGATGCAAATTTTGGAGGGTAACATCGATACTTCGATGTTTCGATGCATCGGAAAAATGAACATCGATGCTAAAATACATCGCCAGAAAAACATCGATATATCGATGATTTCCGATGTTTCACAATTTGTTAGGTTGTAGTCACATTAACAGGAAAATTTAAAAATGTTCAATTACACTCTCTGTAATTTAATTAGAAAAATGCTTACATATGGATGTATTTCCCTGTATTTATTTACCATTCTTCTGCTCTTACTATAAATAGAATAAAAATGCTCCCCGTAGTAAGTTCGTTGAGACTAAAGTTCCAAGGCCCAACTTCGATGAAATTTTAACGGGAACCCAGCTCTGTTTTAATGATTAAGTAAGCATTTTTAATATCGAAAGGTACGAGTAAACCCGGAACTTCTGAATGTTCCCCAAAAGAATAAGTAATAAAAATTGATGGCCAGTCAAAAAATTTTAGGAGCATAATGGGTAAGTTGAATTTAAGTCTGAGTCAAACTGAAGTCGACGTTAAAACATCGCTGAAACTGGCATCGATGTATCGTCAATTTAGCGATTTTAGCCAGTTGTAAACATCGATGGCAAATATCGAATTTTGAACCGATATTATCGATGTTTCAAAAATATCGATGCATCGTTTGCACCCCTACGTGTACACATCTGTCCCACTCTCTTAATGCCTGACCCAATGCGACCACTTACGTATTATTTTTTTGAAGAGGAAAGTTTGTATCTTTTTTAAGTTTTTTTTTTTTTTCTAGTTTACGACAATAGAGTACTTTAATATTTTTGATAACACACACTTGATTTTTTTTATTTCTAAAACTCTTTTTTCAGCACATTTATTGGGGTCACTGGGATCCCATGCGACTAATTGTGTGAGTTTCTTTATGCGCCTAATTAAGGGTTAAGCGCACGCTAGAGCTAAGAAAGGTCTTTTGAATTTATAAATATTTGCATTTTAATCACCTTAAATTGTTTAAAATGCTGCTCTGCGACCACCAACTTCAAAATGAAAAACAATGCTTAAAATTGCCAACCTAGGAAAACTAAGCAATTACTTTTCTATATACATATGGCCCAAATCGCCGAAAACGAAACCAAGGGAAAAATTTTTTTTCTCAGGTTTCGCAGATTTTGGATTATATCTGGGTCATACATATTCTAAGGTATCGGAGAACATCAATATTAACGCGAATCTCCTTCTCTAAAAGATGAAAATTCACTTATTTTTGAGACACCTTTAAATAAACGAAAATTAAAAAAGCACAACATGAAACTAAATGGTAGTTTATATTTAAGGTCCACCACTTTTTTGCATTATACTTGCCTCTCTTCTCTTGCCTTGTATTACTTTGAAGTTAATAAAAAAAGGTATTCGACAAAAAATCAGCGATTAGTTTTCTATATAAAAATCAAGTCGGCAGTATTTTTTAATGTAATGTAACAGTCCAAAATATTAAAAAGTTTTTTGGCGCGGAATCCACCAAATTAAAAAAAGGAAAAATATAGTTTTCTTCGAGCATTTTCGGCCTTATTTCACAGGAAAATAAAATAGTTCCACATACTCTTCATTACCAATATGTTTTCGGTGGAAAGCTATTTGTAACGTAACAGTCTTTTGAACTAATTTAATTTTTAGGTAACCTTTTTTCCTATTTA